AGTGATTTAAATGATAAATGATGAATAAATTATAATACTTGTTATAGAAATTCAAAACAAGAGTTTCCTAATCAGTTATACCAAGTGTAGTTCTATTCAAGCCATTAAACCACAATTTAGCTTTTCCAGTTAAAGAGAAGGGAAAGAGAATCTCCCTGATTTGGTCTTGAGTGACCCCGGCTTGCCTGATGGTGTTACAATATTGACAATAGTCGGCAATGTGAAGATTCGGGTCTTCACCCTTGGCTCCACTGAATTGCTTCCTCTCTATCATCGTTATAAATTGAGGTTTAATTTCAAATTGAGCCCCATCAGGAGCCGGAGTGGGGGTGAGATGTGGAAAATCCGTAAGCTTTGGTTGTGAATAATCACTAAGCTTCTTTGGAGCCGTCATCTCTGATTTTGCGTCTGATGATACCTCTGAATTTCTAGAACCAGTTGGAGGATCTCGGTGATTATTGTTATTATTACCAGAATTCGCCAGGATTTTCTTGTAGAGTTTTTTCAGTCTATGGAAGGATCGTTCTATCTCAGGATTGAATGGGATGTAACCTGATCTGAAACACTTGAGCATAAACAAAAACTAGAAGCAAATATGAGATTTGAGAGAAGAGTTAAGAGAGAGAAAAATCCTAAGTAGAGAGAGAAAGTCTCAGAAAGAAGATAATCAAAATTCCGTACAAAAATCCTACTTAAACGCTTTCTAAAACAAAAATTAAGACTAAACTAATCAGGTCCTATAAAAACGCGCGCCTGATCGGGCGAAAGGCTGCCCGATCGGGCCCGCCTTTTTCTTCGCGTTCCTTCCCAGCAGCATCGCCGATCGTGCTAGAGGCTCGCACGATCGGGCGCGCTATAAGCACGCACATCACTAGCAACGCCGCGCCGCGCCCGATCGTGCAACCTCTTGCCCGATCGGGCCCTTGCTCCACTTTGAGGCTCGGACTTCGATTGGGTTTGATTTCTCGGCCCAATCCGGATTTCCTCTTCGGGTCTTGAATACTCGGTCCAAATACCTCGGGATCCCAATTACCGAGCCCTTAATCACTGGCTCGATGACTCTAACCGGCCTTGGGCTTCAAAGATGGTCGTATTTCTCCAATGCTCGCTATTGCTCCAAAATAACTCGGGAAAATACTCCAAAAACATAAATCCCTGCAAAAGTCAACCAAATCTACGAAAACACTAGAAAACACCAATTTGTAATAAAAATGGCTCTAAAGAGCCAAAAACACTACTAATTACGACCAAGGGACGGGGGTAAATTACTATATAAAATAGACACATCAGAATACTTTAAGAGATTTAAAATCGTCATAAGTATTTTTCTCATTATTACTGTCGGAACTCTTTTCCTTGACCATGAGTAGTGGGAGGTCTCTTGTTTGAGTACTAGTCCGCTTTGGTATCCGCCAAACGCCTGCCGTAACTGGGGATTATAACGACAGATATCGGGCGGCTAGGTCCACTTAGTAAGAGAAACTACATTACAAGACTGGAAATGTCCCCCCACTAACAATAGGGAACATGTCTTGTTGTTTACAAGGCATCTCGAAGAGCGAGACTGTGAAAATGCATGGTCGTGCTCAGATGGATTTTAGAAATCATCTGCTTATTGACAGTCAAACTCGGATTTCGATAAACACTTCTGGACGTAACAAAGATGACGAGTAATATTACTCTATAGTTCATGAAGAGACATAGAAAAGGGGCTATACACTAAATACACACTTGTCAGGAAGGACAAGTGGGATATTGAAAGGAATGGTGTCCTTTGAACAAGTGTATTATCTGATAGCGGGTTCAGAATTATTAGAAAGCTAATATATTCAGTAAGGTCAAGTGATCGGAATGCCGGGTGGAGGCCGCTTCCGATCAGTAATATTAATATAATTAATATTACAGCTTAATATTGACTGAACCCTTCGGGTCACACCCAAGCAAAATATACGAACCGACTCGACGAATTAATTCGAAAGAAATTAATTCGTCGCCCGAGTGTTAAATATTTAGACGTCGGTAATTCGAGCTTGGAGCGTCGAAACCGATCTTCGGAAGTCGAGTTAAAAAATAATAAAAAGACAAGACGCGCAAAATAATAATAAATCGACCATATTCCCAAAATACCCCTAGCATCGGAGTGCCCCGAGCATCCGAATGCTAGGGGCAAAATGTCCACGCGTAGGTGGCTGGCAAGCGCACCAAGCCGAGCCTTGCATGGCTGGCTAGGTGCGTGCTAGCAGCCACGCACAGCAACAGCTAGCAGCCGCGTGCACGTGGTGCGTGCGGCAGCTAGCTGCCGCAAGCTAGGCGTGCTAGCAGCGCACACACTAGCAGCCACGCTCAGCAGCAAGCCCGCACCAAGTGCGTGGCTTGCGCGCACAGCAGCAGCCCACATCTTGGTGCGGGGCTGGGCTCGGGCTGGGCTTGTGGCTGGGCCATAGGGCCGGTCACTATGGGGAAGCTTGAGGAATATGGGAGCAAGTGGGTAAGGACATATGGCACAAGGAGAGTATTGAGTGGGGAGCAAGTATGGCCCCCTACTCTCCATGTGGTCCTCACCAACCCATTTCACATGGTAATGCCACTTGTAGATTTATTATTAGTTTGAAATTTTAATTTAATTTAGCTTTAAATTAATTTGTGGAATTTCATGATCCCACATTGATGGGATAGAAATTCCCACTCATACTTTCCTCTATAAATATCAACCTTGGGATTTGGAGTAAAGTGCTTGAGTGGGAGTTAGAAAGAGCATTCCATATTTTGGGAAAAACTCTTAAACTCCATTAACACTTGTGTTTTGGTCGGACCTTGCTAACTCCAAGGTAGCGGACCTAAAAAGTCGTGTTCGTCCTTTGTGGGTGGATACCGTTGGAGGCACGACATTTGCGGTGCTCAAGGCTTTCAAGTAAGAGCCCATTTTGAGAGGGCGAAGCTCGCTTCAAGGGTATGATTCGTTCTTCCTTTTCTTGTGTATATTTATTTATGCTTTATGGTTTTATTAATTACGAGTGGTTCCTTGGGTTGGGGTTATTTCCGCGGTGAGTCGGACTCACCAAACCCCAACATGAGTATCATGCCTTATTTGGTCTTTATGAAGATTAAGCTAGGTGAGCTTCTTCAAACCAATATGACATTGCAATTGGCCTATCGATCTATTAAGTTTCCAAAGGGAAGAGTTGAGGATGTTCCCCTCAATACAGGAGAGTTTACCATTCCGGTTGATTTTATTGTGCCAGAAATAGCGAAAGATGATAATATACCTATCGTTTTAGGGAGACCTTTGACAAGAGGAAAATGTAGGTCGTTATCTACCCTTTCTTAGAGCCAAAATAAATTTGTAAACACTCTACCAACCTAATACGAGTATATGGTAAGTCAAGGTTCGATCCCAAAGAAATGAGAAGGTGCAAGCTATAGCCTATGTCAAGCTAGTTCGATGAATGTTGATGGTTATGGTTGGTAACTAAAGTATCAAGAAACTAGACAAATCGAGAATTTCGATATGCTGAACACTAGGGATACAAGTTCCACATGCAAGCTCAATGATTATGCTAATTGATAGATCACTTAATCGATTCAAACATCACAAAGGATAAACAACAGTCGCAATCAAAGGAATTCAAGAGCTATCTCCTATAAGCCAAGCTAGGGTTCACTATGAATGGCTAACAAGGAAAAATCACAATTAAATTCAATCAATTGAATCAATTCTAAAATCAAGGGTTCATGTCTTTGAAATTTGCAATGCAATCTAGATTAATCTTATAGGTTGATCATTCCTAGTCTAATTAAACGCATGCACAACTATGTCGACCAATTTAATTGCAACAATTCAATCAATTTAGGATCATCAACTAGCAAAAATTATCTATCAAGAACGCTTTCCGTTCTCCTTAACAACTAATCTACTCACTAATCATGGTGAAATTGAGAAGCAAAATAAATTCTATCACAATCTTATTCATTTCAAGCTTAATCAAAAAGAAATTGAATCAATAAACAAATTCTAGAGCAAAGAATGTAATCCAAATCAAAATTCAAGAAACTAGAAGAAATTGCAATGAAAGTAAATCAAAGGAAAGAATTCTCAAAAAATTTCATTGAATTGAAGAAGGAATTCCAAGATCCAATTGAAATCTAAGACCAAATTCAAGTACAAATCAAGTAAATCTTAAGCTTCTCTCTCTACTTTCTCTCTCTAATATATCAAGAAAATTTATTCTCAAGTACAAAAATTTAAGTGGACCAAAAAAAAGAAAGTCAAAAGCTATAAATAGAAAAAACGAGCGAAGGGGGCTGGAAAGGGCTTTGCATGCGCACCACCTAAGCCGCGCACGCGTATAGTTGGGTCTGCGCGCACGCGCCCCCTATGCCGCGCGCACCCCTGCTTGATGCACGTGGCCTTGGCTCCTTCGCTTGCTCGATCAAACTCCGCGCTCCCAAGCGTCCCTATCATTGGTGCACTCGAGGCGATGCTTATGAGAAGGGCAACTCCCTTATCTTCCAAGCACTTGAACTCCACAAGCCAAAACATTGCTTCCAAGGACCTCGAGTTTGCGGAGCTAGCACTAGTAGAAAAAAATTAATTTGCTGCTATTAATTTGCTGCATTTTATGCATTTCGATGCAAATAAAAGGTACTATTAATATTATTAATTAGAAGTGGGTTTTTTATTGAATCGCTGCAAATCAATATCGTACCTTTACCCTAGCCCCTTTAGGGGGTGTTTGGTTCACATAATTAAGGTATAAGGTATGGGTTTAGAATGGTTTAACCCATACCTTATGTTTGTTTTATGATTTTATGAGTTTCAAACCCATACCTCAAACCCCCAAGGTATGGGGTTTAGAAACCTTGGGGGGAGATGGGTTTGGCTCATTCCGATACATTTAGGCTTAAATAAAAGAAAAACATTGCATTTCATGATTATACCAAACATATGATATTAAGAATGAAGTTCCAAACCCATACCACTATGATTTCATTTTTGATTCCAACCCCATACCAGTTTGCGAACCAAATGCCCCCTTATTCTTTAGCCGCCGAATTTCATTCATTACGCTCTTTCTCCCTCTTCCACCTTCGTCTTCTCTCACTGGATGATTGATTACCAATCTCACCATAGATTCTACTTTGTCACTCACTCTCATTGACACTTCAAGTTTCTCACTCACTCACCCAAGTACCCGCTCATCACCTACTCACCCTTGTCGGCGTTCAGGCCTAATTTCAATCAATGTCTCACCGTTCCACGGTTCCACTACTTCCACTGATCTAACGGCTAACCTACGTGCTCACCGCCACCTTCACTCACCGACTATCACTCTTAAACCCAAGGTAAGTAATTGTATATTTTGTTTCCTTGATTGAGAACGTAATAGGGAGTCGCAGATTTTGAGGAATTCCCTTCCAAAATGCGATTTGGGTATTACTGGTTGTGATAATTGAGAAGGTGAATGTTGATTTGAGTTTGGGAAGAATTTGATTTCAGCATGTTTGAAATTCTAGAGGTTTAATTTGATGTATGCGACTTCTTTAGTGTGCTCAAGTTTCGAAAAGATAATTGGTTTTTGCAATTCTTAAATGGGTTTTTGAATTATGCCATTCATATGTATTATGTTTCAGTTGAATTTTAAGTAGTTATCCTTGTTTGTCAATTCTGCACCCATTTCATTGTGTCTACTTTGGCATCTTTGGAGGTTGATTGTTTATTTGCATAATTGATAATATGACACTTTGTTGTGCTGTTTATCGCATTTTGTTGTGAAAACTAAATCGAAAGGTCATAGAGCACTTGTTACCTCTGTTATTATGGTTCCTAGTTGTTAGATGAATTGATGAAGCTAATTGTTACCGAAATTTCGTTGTGGCTGGATTGATGAAGATACGAGATATTATATTTGTCACCCCATTTTTTTAATGGTTTAAAATTATATCACTATTTATGCTTCGTTGTAGTTAATTGAGTTTCTTTAATTTGGAAGTTATTTGGGTGTAGATGTGTTATCTAGTTTTTAAATTTTTGTTGTAGTGATTAAATAGATTTATTTTGGTGGTAAATTAGTATTTGTTTTGCCAAGATTTTATGCTTTTATTTTAATTTGGTCCGACATGTATTGGAATCGAATTGAAATTTTTTAAGTCGTGTTTCTTTGGATATTTGTTTCTTCTGCTAGTGTTGCATTTTTTAAATACAGGGTTGTGGTTTAATTTGAGGAGTTAAGCTGAGGAGAAACAAGGTAGTTTTTGAAAACGAAATGGGGTGTCCTGTTCAGGTGGCGGCAGGTCTGTTAAGATTGGTGGAGGAGTATGGGGAGTATGCTGTGAAAGTTTTCAAGCAGAACATGGTTGTACAGCCCGTCTTAGCAAGTTCGTGGAGGTCCCCAAGGGCAGGATATGTGAAGATTAATTGTGATGCTCATATGGACAGCGTGACTGGGCTTAGAGTGGTGATTCGTGATGAATTTCGTTCAATTCTTGCTGCTTCGGTGAGGAACAAACCTGCCTGCTCTGGCAGAAGCTGCAGCATGCCGCTTCGGTATGCAACTCGCTGTTCGTTTGGGCTATAGCAATGTGATGGTGGAGAGCGATTCGCTGGTGGTTGTCAATGGGCTGAAGAAAAAGTTGCAGGGATATAATCCTTTCTTTTTATTACTTGATGATATTAGTACTCTGTCTAGTGAAATTAATGCCTTTTCTGTTTCTCATGTGAAAAGGTCGGGAAATACTCTTGCTCACCCTAGAAGTTTCCTTTAGTAGCAAGTGGAATCCTTTACTCAAGGTCAATTGAACATCTATGAAAAGTTGCTTCAGTCTTCTATCTCAAAGGTGCTGCTGCTGCTGCTGCTGCTTGTGTTTTTGTCGTTGCTGCTGCTCATGCTGATGGTACTGTTGCTGCATACGTGCTGTTGTTGATACTCGTGCTGTTGTTGTTGCTGCTGCATACGTGTGGTTGATGCTACTTGTGCTGTTACTGCCTACTTCGCCGTTTATGTTGCTGCCTACTCAACACCATATCTATTTCTGCCAAATTGACACCATTGCTGTTGTTGCCTTCTATACTTCTTTGGCCGTTAGAACTCAGAATTCGTAATGTTGTTTGTTAATATCTGTAGTGGCTGTGCTCCTGTTGTATCATCTTAAGCTACTGAAATGTCTAATGTTGTCCAATTGTAATATTTATCTTTTTTATGAAAGTGTACTCTGCCATGCTATTAATAATGGAAATACAATTTTTTCTATAATTAAAAATAAGATTTCAGTCTTTTTTTTTGCTGTAGTTGAATATTTGATTAATAGCATGTTTGATAAACAAAAACCCAGCTATTTTAATTGTAAAAAAATATTTATTAGCAGCGGTTAATGGTAATAACCGCTGCAAATCAATCAATTGATTTGTTGCAGTTGTTAACCGCAGCAAATCATTCAATTGATTTGCTGCCCTGGCGTTTGCTGCCTCTCCAAAAATGCAACAAATAAATCATTTTTAACCACCGCAAATAAATTTTTTTCTTGTAGTGTAGCTTGAATTGCATACTTTAAATCCCGGACTTAGCTCCATCAACCCACTTGAATGCGCTCGAGATTTCTCTTTGGTGATCAAACCTCGGGAAACTCAACACACCTACAAAACAAGTCAAGGAAGTAAAGAAGCAAGAGAAATAGTCGAGATATGAACAAAATGACAAGAAAACCAATAAAAGCATACATTTCTCTAGACTTAAACATAAACATGCAAAGTAAGCATTATTTCATACAAACATGGAAAAAAGAACTAAAAACGATAATAAAACTATAGAGAAAACCTAGCCTAAGAGTGTCATAAATGACACTCATCAAATTCCCCCAAGATAGACTTTTGCTCGTCCTCGAACAAAACAAAAATCAAACTTACAAGGAAAATGATGACATTATTTAGGTAAGGAAGAAACAAGAAAAACAAGAGAAAAGAAGAATGTACACTAATTTACTTTCGTAGGAATCACGGTAAATTTTAGCAACTAAAGACAAGCCATTTAAACCCCTAGATCGCCTTAGAGGACGAGTGATGCTCTCGTAAAGGTTTCCTAAGAGGTTAACCTATAATTCTTTTATTAAAAGGAGGCAAAGCATAAGAGAAGAAAAGAGAAAGTTTAAAACCTTGAAAAGAAAATAGGTGCTTATACAATGGAATTTTGCACATGATCAAAACACGAAAATATATAAAACTTTCTAGAACAACAATGGTAAGCACATTCTTAGATATCGAGGGTTGATTGAAACATAGGGCATGCTAAGTATAGAGAACTACCAAAACGCAATTCACCTTCATCTAAAAACAATTTTAGCACATTTTCCCATTGGCTTCAAATCCTCTTTTAGTGAGCGTCTCTATAGTTCCTCGAAGGAACTGGAAAATCAATAGATTTGAGGTTTTCTCGACATCTTGACTTTGCATTCCCTATCCTTACACTTTAACTCATTATGCCCTCCCTCGGTATATGACTTAACCACTAGGTCAAAAGGGCTTTCCCAAAGGTTGTAATGTAAGGGCAAAAGGGTGAGGGTAGGCTTAAAATTTAGAATTTGGTGGTACACCTAAGTTGTGAAGCAAGATTAGCTGAATCTCAATGCCAAAACAAAGTGATCACCAAAAAAAAACAAACTAAAACTCCCAAGATTATTCAAAGCTATAACCACAGTCACAAATACAAAAAGCGTAAAATGCTTCCCCCCCAAGCTAGAAAATAGCATTGTCCTCAATGCTTAAAATAGGGAGAAATGCTTACATCAAAATGTTTTTGAACTTTTCCATATTCACATTTTTTTGTCCTTTTTTTGTTGTTGCTTTTCAATTTTTTTGCCAAAGCTTTAAGAGATTAGCTTTGAGTTTTCTCAACTTTTCACATTATTCAATGTCCTTGCCTTTTGTAGCTATGGACGACTTTTTTCATTATACATTTGAATGTCCTTGCCTTTTTTTAACTTTGGACGAATTTTTCATTTATTCATTTGGCATTATTCACAAAATATACAAATAACAAGCTTGTTTACAAATAAAAACCAATATCCAAACTCATTCACCACAAACTCCAAGTACATGGCCATTTGCTTCACAAAAACCAAAAATGGAATAAGGCACAAAGATCTAAATATGTGGCTAGAAAAGAAGGAAAATATGAACCCAAGAACTAAAAATAATGAAGATTAACCTAGAAAAGAAAAATTACCACCCCGAAAAGATGCTTTTATCCTCCCTAAATGTTTCGGTCTCATGTTTAAGAATTAAGAGTCAAGTTTCAAGATTAGATCCGCAAAAGTGAAGGATCCATGCCGCTCATACAAGTAGTTGAAGAAGGCTTGAAAAATAAGAAACCTCACAAGGTTGAGGCAAAAACTCACTAAAAGCATCAAATCCACCAAAGGGGAATAGTTGCGAGTTTTAAAAAAAAGAGAATCCGGTTTCAAGGTCGTAATAGTTCTAGAATACAACCTTAGCATGTTCTATCCTAGAGTCAACCAAATATACTCTCAAACCGTGAAAACCATTATTTTTAGGAAGAATAATAGCCAATGTGCAAGCTCAAGTGGTACTAAGTCCAAAGTAAAAGCAAAATTATGAAGTATGAAAAGCAATGCCTCAAAAACATTTTATTCATATTTACAAATACTTTATAAATGTTTTTTTTATTATATTTTTTAAATCAAAGGAAAAGAAAAGAAATGGAAAACCAAAAGAATTAGAAAATGAAGCAAAGGATATGAAGTGAAATATAGAAAAGCAAAGGAGAAGTAGAAAGCAACAAGGAAGTAATGTTAACACACATAAGTCTCTATCGACAAACAAATGAACATTCGGCCACAACGCCAATGTTCCCAAACACACTAAGGTGTTAAAAAGCAAACATCTTTGAACCATTTAACTCATCCTAATCTAAGCATCCAAGAAAAGAAAAATAAAAAGAAGAACAATAGAAATATCTCACCGGGTGTCAAAGATATGCTACACCAAACAAGGCGAAAGAGCACCTTTATGAATCATCGAAATCCAAAGCATAAGAATCAAAGCAAGGTGAGAAATAAAAACTATATACAAAGAAAATTGTTATTAAATTCAATACAAAAGAAAAGAAGAAAAGAAAAGATAAAAAGTATGCAAATAAAGAAAAAGCAAGAAATGATAGCATCAGGAATAGGATCAAGTAATGAGAATATAGGAAGTAGAATCATCATACTGAAGCAGAATCAGGAGACAAGATATCTAACAATCATCATCAGGAATCATAATCATAAAGAAACAGAGATACACAGTAGATAACAATCAGCGAAACAAACAACCGAACCAATAACTGGACAGAGAAATCAACAAAAGTACAACATCATCATCATAGAATCAAGAGACACAATGATAAATACCAGAAGCATAAGAGACCAGGAGTGAACAACAAAAGCAAGGGAGGAAACGGTGAAGCAAACAAATGACATATATCACCCCCAAGCTTAAAATGAACTACCCCCCAAACTCTAAACCTAATAACATATAGGCAAAAGAGAAACATCACATAAAGCACATAAGAAGGGGGGTAGCCATGATAGTCTCACTATGCACTATGGTAAGGGGTAGAATGAGAACTCCCCTTACCGGTCTCCATCACATGAATAGAGCTAGCCATCTCGTTCACCTCCACAAGATCCTTACCCCTTAACCTACCTTCCATCCTAGCTTGATCAACCGCATAGAAATGAGACTAATCATCTAAGACCAGCTCGCCCGACCTACCGCACCTACCAAAAGTCTCGGGGTTTGTAAAGGGCATAGGGGTAGCAGGATCATATGTATAATCACATCCACCGGGCCGCATAGAGTCGTAAGTGGACGGGGTGGTGCCTATGATAGCACTAGGGGAACATGAGGGCCCTCCCAATAAGGGTAGAAAGGCCTAGGACCCACGGTAGGGTCAAAAGGCTCCCATGGAGGGATAGAACCTTGTTGGACCAGGAGGTACGGGTAATTCACATAGGGTTTGATCTCCCCCCTCCTCACATGTAAATCGTACAATTGATTTGCATGATAGTCATGGCCAAGATACGGGTTTTGCCCTGATGGCATAGAGCATAACACATTAGCAATATTATCAAGCTTAGCATGAATGGTTAACAAATCAAAAGTAGAAGGAGCAGCAGAGGGAGAGGGATATGCATACCTCCCGGTTCAATCGGAGGAAGAGTTTGAACATCCATTAAGAAAGCATCGGTTGAGGGGGATCTTGGATGGTTCGTCCTCCATAGAGTAGAAGGATCAATATTACACATCGGAGGCCTCCAAGACAAGGAATCTTTCTTCATTTTTTGGGTAGTTGCCTCTTTGCTTTGGATTAGGAACCAATCTTTTACCCGGGAAACTTTCCAAATGTAAACATCATCCCTCCTAGTACGATCGAGGAACTTTTGGTTCATAAGGGTGGAGATGTTGAGGAAATGAGAAGAAGACTTTTCCCGAGTATCGACAATTGGGGAAAGCTCACATAACAAATCCTTATAAGCGTCATTGATGTAGAGAGCTAGGATAGAAATAATTCCCTCCCAATTTAATGCTCCCCGAAAGGCTAACTCCATAACGGATATCCAAAAACCGATTGATCAAATGCTGTGTGAAATCCACGAGCTCTATCTCATGTGAGTCTTGGTCAGCTATCCATAGCCAACAAAGCTCCTCTCGGGAGATAGCTCCTAAAGAGTCCTTGGAGCAAAGGGTGTATGTGAGGATACAGTTGAAATACCGCAAAGCCGGATGAATAATAGATGTAGACATGGAATTTTGAGGCTCGTACTTCCCAATCTCGGAGATACGCCGCCACCAACGTTGCTCATCATAACCATGGTCACTTGACATTCTACCATGTGCCGGATAGATAATATGGTCCTCATCCATGACCCATGGAAACTTGAAGTAGGAACATAGTTGAGACTCCGTCAATTTGTGATCATTATTGAAGAGTTGGAAAGTCAAAGTCCTTGAGGAGTCACCACTTGGTTCTTGGAGTACTTCAAGAGAAGATAGAAAACTCCAAGAGACCGAGGTTCTTTGCAAGGTACCGAACGTCATCATCAATTTTGAGAAACTTGGTTGTTGTTTGATCGTAGAATCTTGTAGTCCTTAGCTTCCTCTTGGATAGACGCTTGAAACGATCCAAATGTAGTTCCTTATAGAATTTAATGTCTTATGTTTCTTCTACCTTGAGAGGAGGTGGAACAACATGCTTAGGCTTGCTTGAACTTGATCTTGCCCGCTTCTTTTGACGGGTTGGATCCATCTACAAGAAGGAGAACAACTCATGATCAAGACTTTTACATTTATCATATGTCAAGAATAAGCATAAGAAATTGCTCAAGAATCAAACACAAATGCAATTTTCTAAAAAATGAAGCAAGAGATGGCTACATATGAACAATGACATTAATATAGAATCATGAGTGTGAGGCAAATAGGCATGGATTAAAGGAAAAATTAAACACAAGAGAACAAATCACGAATCAATTTGAGCAAAATAATCTCAAATATTGAATTATCAAAGAAATAAAGCCATCATAAAGAATACCCATGAGAGAGAAAATGACTAACAATGGTGATTAAAGTATTCAATCAAGGTAAACAAATTCAACATGAAAAAGGTTCAATTCAACATTCAATAACATTATTCAACACAAATTACAAGTTAAAATAACCAACAATGGAGTTCTACCATGAAAGCAAAAACAAGGGTTTCAAGCTTCAAAAATGAGGAAGATGACTAGAAAGTGAGAAATTATACCTTAATGAAGCCTTATAATACTTGCAAATTTCCCAAATTGAAGATTAAAAAACAAATATAACACCCAAAGACAAGTTCCAAACCCCAACACAATCCCTCAAAATTTCGAATAAGCCTAAAATTTTCGAAATTATAATCGAATATTTCAGATTTTTTTTGTCAAATTTGAAAAATTGTAATGTGAATAATGTAATTTTATGATGAATTGAAAATAAAATTGGTAAATTTGTATGGATTTGCAAGATAAATGCAAGGGTTTGAAAAGAGATAAAAAAAACTAGAGGAAAGAAGGGGAATGTCGAGGAGCGAGAATGGAGTTAAAAGGTGGGGGTTTGAGGGTGAAAAGAGGCACAAAACAACAGCTAGCTGTTGCGGCTGATGCGTGCGTGCAGGTAATGGGTGCATGCCCACCAGCTATAGGAGGGGAAGAGCTGATTTCGTGACAAATTCACGAAAATTTCTGACCCATATGGTGCGCGCGCGTAGGTAGGGTGTGCGTGTGCATCATAGGGTGATTGAGAAATTCAAAATCCGCCTAAATTTCAACAAAAATTGGGCAAAATCTCCGACCCCCATGGTGTGTGCGCGCAACCCACGATGCGTGCGAACCACTTGATGGTTAGGGGGGAAAAGAAAATTTCCCTTGAATATGTTCTCATGTTTGCATTTTCACCGGCGCTATGGAGTGTCATGATCGAGTGCTCAAAAATTTCACAAAAATAACTCAAAACTTAGTCGAAAATGAATATAAAAATCAATGAAAATGCAAACACGATAACATATAACCCAACAAAATCCTTCACCTAAGTTTAACCAAACCTCATGAAACCTTGAAGTAACACCAAAATTGTTGAAAATTTTCTTCGATCCAATCTCATGGTACCTAAAATCAAGAGAACAAAGAAAAATAAAGAGAAATAAGAAAAGTTCTCAAGGATAAAAGAAATATAGAGAATTGAAAATTCAAAAGAAAAAGGTTAGAAAACCGGGTTAACTCCCAGGTAGCGCATGTCTAAAGTCATAGCTCGACGTCCTGCACCAATTAAGGTGGTTGTCAGAGAAGTAATGTGTGAAAAAGGCCAAAGAAAGCACCATCGAAATACTTCTTGAGACGATGACCATTGACCTTAAACGGAGGAAAATAATCCATCATTGAGACCTCTACAACACCACTTGGAAAGACATTCTTGACCAAATCGGGACCGCTCCATCTTGATATGAGCTTTACGGGAAACAAATTCATTTTTGAATTGTAGAGAAGAAGTTTTTCACCAACACAAAACTCTTTCTTCTCAATAAGCTTGTCATGTGTTTCCTTGGAATGAGATTTGTACACACTATCACAATAATAAGCATCAAGCCAAAACTCCTCTAGCTCATGAAGATCTAACCACCTTTTCTCCCCCGCACTTTCCAAGTAAAACTTTATTTTCTTGATTTCCCACAAAGCACGGTGTTCAATCTTAATTGAGAGATGGCATGATTTTCCATAGACTAGGCGGTATGGAGTGGTACCTGTAGGCGTCATTCGATGTGCACCTACGTTAAGAATGTGTGAATATGATTGGCACTCTAAGAAAGTGGGAATTGACGTATACGATTAGGGACAAGGAAAGTAGGGAGCCGCCAACAAGTTTTTAAGGAACTTGTAAACCGTTCACGGATCATAAAAGGAAACCAAACCACAATAAAGGGACAACGATAGGTAACAACGATTGACCCGTGAAGGTTACAACCCATTCATATTCCATGAGATTACTAACTCCGTATGGTTTGAAACCACAAAAGGAGGATTGGGGATGATGGTACGAAGCAAGTCATGGAGTCATATTCGCCCGTAATGGCCTCTACTCGATTATTATAGTGAAAAGTGATTCATGTGATCTCAAAGGCATACAAACAAAGATTCAATTCGTTCCAAACTATTATTATGCTAAATTGGTTGAATATTAATGCAACACATTATTCTAAAATATCGTGATCACTTGAATTAATAAAAATATTAAAAGGAACCTAAACTGGTTGTCCAAATTATCTTATTAGGCGTGATTTTCAATTACATATTTTCTTTAAACATGCAATATAGTGATCATAATAACAATAATAGAATAAAAATTAATATTGGAAGCAATTTAACAATAATAGCGTTAGTTAAATCAAATATAAAATAACCCTAATCATGATACTATAAATATTAAAATAAAATAAGAGTAATTAAATTAATTAATTACTCACATTCCGCACGTTTCTTTAAATTTCTACATCATGAATAAACTGTTAGTAACTTCAATTAAAATATAAATCAAATTGAAACAATTAAAATAAATAAAAAGTAGAGTTGATTTAGTCAAAATCCTCAGTCAATTATAGATTTCACGCCTTGGTTTAAGTATAGAACTTTGGGTATTATATGGACTCCTTGGAGTGCTAAAAGGAAGGAATAGTGAAAGAATGGGCAGGCTAGTGTTTAGGCTAAAGAGAAAGAAGAGAATTATTTTATGATCAAGATTTTTGATTATTGAAAAGGGGAGACATGACCACTATTTATAGGGAAAAAAGAAGGTTCGAAAAACAAGACAATATCCGAATTAAATCAGAATAAAACTCGATAGACTGTAGTTTTTGCGGTTTTTGTTTTTTTCATATCTTTTTATCCAAATATAGAATATGATAAATAAGATATCGTTGGAAAGCTCTTAAAGTCTAATTTCTAACCCAATTAGAATCAGAATAAATATTCTGTAGAATAAAAGATATGGCTGAAATATTGATACGATGTCAGTTTTGGATAGAGTTTGACATATTATTCATGTCTTTTCCGTTATAGCTCGGAATTGATATTAACATATATCATTGGAAAGATAATTTCAAGGGCTATCCAACCATATAAATTTAAATACAAAATATAAGGCACGAAAATCATATATGACTATCTTTGAAAGTCTTTCAATTCGGATAGAAATAGGATTTTCAAAAAGAAAAATTTTATTCAATTTCAAACTCTTTAATCTTATCATTTCAAAAAGGATAATTAATATCTTTTTGAAACTTATAAAAATTTCTAATTAATCCTAATTGGTTTAGGAATGGGATTAAATAATTTGGACCCTCCACATGATCATTGGGTCGTAAGTAAGGTGGGCTTAGGTTCGGTTTGGGATCAATTTAATATTTTTGCCATAACTTATTCGTTATAACTCGGATTTGGGCTTATAATATATTGTTGGAAAGCTCTTTTAAAGTCCCATTCAAATATTCAATCATTGAACCCAGATAATGGACCAAAATAAACTGGAATAAACGTTTTTATAAAAAGGACACGAAATTAATGATTTTAAAGGACACGGAATGAATGATTTTAAAGGACCCGAAATGAATTATTTTTGGTTTAAAGGCACGAAAAGAGGAAAATAAGTTATGGTTTGGGGAAATGGGATAGGAGTTGGGTTTGTTTTATGAAATGGAAATATCGATTTAAGCACTCCAAGATTAAATACTCAACCCGGCCTATAATGGTGGTGAAAGGTTGTTCGTCATCGGGTGTGGTTTTGGGGAGACTTTTTTAGGTGTCTGCAGAAGCCCCCACTTTGACTGAGTTTGTAGAAACGTTAGTTTTGAAAACGATAGTCAAAGTAGTCGATAGGGATGGAGAATGATTTAAGACGTTCTGTGATCCTAAATCACTCTATATATGCCGATACTTGCGGAAAAATGTTAGTTCCACAGATAAAAGAGTTAAGGGATAGAATGCGTATCTGACACTAGGGCATCGGTGACAAATATGTTTGGTAGCTTCCTATGCTTGAAGGAATCCACCGGATGACGTTTGTTGAAATGCATTCCATGCTTTAGGAAAGCCGATAGATGAGTTTCGTAGCTTTATATGGTTGAAGAAATCTACCGGATGATACTTTCCATGCTTGAGGAAAGTAGACATATGAATTTGGCGGTTTTCTATACTTGAAGAAACCCACCGATAATACTTTCCATGCTTGAGGAATGTCGACAGATGATTTTGGTAGTTTTCTATGCTTGGAGAAACCCACCAGTTGATAATACTTTCCATGCTTGAGGAAAGTCGACAGATAATTTTGGCAGGTTTCTATGCTTGAAGAAATCCATCGGATGACACTTTCCATGCTTGAGGAAAGTTGACAGATGATTTTGGTAGGTTTCTATGCTTGAAGAAATCCACCGAATAATACTTACCATGCTTGAGGAAAGTCGACAGATGATGATATTGCAAGTCTCTGCGTATCGAGAACCTTGCGCAGTGAAATGACAGTGGTTCGATTGTCCCCGAACATGGGCTGTAGTTGGTTTGCTTGTCCTCAAATGTGGGCTATAGTTGGACCGCTTGTCCTCAGATGTGGGCTGTAGATGGTTCGCTTGTCTCCATACGTGGGTTTTAGATGGTTCGCTTGTCCCCGAACATGGGCTGTAGATGGTCCATTTGTCCCTGGACATGGGCTGTAATTGAGACCTGCAAAATAAAATTATCCAAGAGACTCGTAGAGACTATGATTGACTTGACCAACTGACTTGGCGAAGCTTGACTTGACATGACATGACATGTGTTATATTTCACCATGTATCACAATAAATTTGCAATGGACCAAGATTTGATGGCTAAGTTACGAGTTCCTCAAGGATTTGTTTCATCCTCTTAATGCACTCACATCCGATGCGAACAATCACTTTTGACTTGAAACTCATTAAGTGACTTTGATGTCATTGGCCAACTTTCTTTGAAAGTTCCTTGTCGTATTTTTGTTGATTAGACCACCATGCCTTTCTCTTATTTTGGATGCTGATCCAAAGAGAAACTGAGTTCCCCATCATGCTTTTACAAGGTTAGAAATCCCTTGCAGAAAGATTCGTTAGTTGCACCAAAGATATAAACAATATAAGTATGTACAACTAATAAATCAATAAGTTCCTCTAGAAAATAAAACAATTAATTTTCACATTAGCTTCAAGAGGGAACTTGAATTATCTCCTATGCCATTGAGTATGAACCTTCTTCAACACTTAAAGAGCTTTGTTAGGTTCATTAACATGGCAAAAAGATTTAGGATTTTCAAATCCTAAAGGTTATTTCTCATAGACATCCTTAATTAGAATATTTAGAAAATTCATATTAGACATCTATTACAAACAACTTGATTCCCATGTAAGCAGCAAAATAAATGATATGTAATCAACTCATTATCTAGCTATAAAAATACGAACCTGACAAAGTTCCTTGATGTAGGAACTATGCTCATATCTATTCATAAACACTTATCAAATGATTTTTGGTGTTCCTGAATAAGTTCATGGTTCTGCACCTTAGCTAATTCATTTACACCTCGTTGGAAGGCTTCATGTGTTCCTTGTTGGAGCTTAAGGAACTACAGGACAATGTAGCTGATTGATGCTGCTTTATAGAGTGACATACTTCTGTAGAAATTCCACTAGTTTCAAAGGAACTAATGAGTTCTACACTAAATTCTCTTAAACTTGCATGCTGGGAATAAACATGTTAGATTCATAAAATTTATCGTCACTCAATGCACATTAATACCTTGTTGTAACATGTACATGTTTCACACGTGGATGTGCACCATAAGAACACCACCTTACTACTTCTGTTATCAAACTTCCCTTTTCAAATGAAGGGTGTCTTGTTTCCCAAAGATCTAACCATTTCCTTATATATGATGCAGCAAGTAGCATTGATAACTTTGTAGTGATTTCAACATTGAGAGCTTGTAATCAACACTTTATTCCTGCACAAATCATTACACTTCAAAGGAACTTGGTTCCATGGTTAGATCTTTAATATAACACTTGATCATTACTGCTTAATCACTTAATCCCTCATAGAAAAGATAACAAAAATATAATCTTTGTTACATTCTAAGGTAAGTGATTGCATAACAATTATCAAATATAACCAAGACATATCTCTTTCAATCCCAACTTTAAATACACAAGGGTTTACACAAATTCAATTGAATGAGGTCCAATAGGTTTGTGTTCCTTATCATTATTTAGCTTGAAAGAAGATAAATTAGACAAAATCACTGACTTTTCATACTTCACAAACTTATGGTAAAGAACTTGATATAATATAAAGTAGCAACCAAGTTCCTTGGAGTTTATCAAGTATGGAAAACCAACAAGTCAAATTGTAAGGAACCAAATCCTTGAAATGTCACGTTATTGTAAGGAACCAAATTGTGACCCTCATACATAGTATGAATTCCTTCTTCGACTCCCTTTCAATATGACACTTCTAGTTTTATAGATGATGAACAATTATTGGTAAAACAAATAAAGTTACAAAACTTTGAAAATATCGTAATGTGCTTCATGGTCTCGAAAGAATGTACACAATGGAGAAGGAACTTAACTTACCAACTTTTTAAGTTAATACCAAAAGTTGAATTGAAGTACCTCCATCGTAGGCCACTAGTAAGAAAACTTTTGTCAAGCCTTATATCACATGTTAAGAGCACCCGCTGTCGAGATACCACGATTTGG